GAGAGAAAGGACACACATGGGAGACCGTTAGCCACACGTGCTCATCATCATCGCGCCCTGCGGGAACCGGAGCAGAGGGGAGCGCGTGGGAGGGGGGAGGAGAGGGGGGGGACATGAAAGAGGGGTGTGTGTGTGTGGGGGGGGTCCAGGTGACAACTCCCAGGAGAAAACCAGCAGAGGGGCCATCGGATCTCAGCATGGGGAGGGCGGGCGTGTCACACAGAGGAGGCTCCTGGGAACTCTGAGCGCCCTCGTCCCATCGAGGGGTCACTCCAGCCCAAACCATCCACATAGGTATGAGGCATGCCGGGGTGTGTGTGTGTGTGTGAGAGAGAGAGTTGTTCCTCCTGGTCTTGGCCAGGCGTGTGCGAGTGCAGGAAGGAGGGGTGCGGACGGAGAGCTCAAGCAGGCAAACCCCACATAGGGAGGGCAGAGGAGAGGTGACCAGCGCGCCCCCAGTGGGGAGTCCCCGGGGTTGAGTGTTGTGGTGGGTGAGAGTTTGGGCGCCAAGGGTTAAGGTCAGTCCACAGCCCAGAAACTCCTGACCAGCGTTCCCTCTAAGCTGAGTGAGCGTGAGCTAGCTCACAGTTTTTTAGCCTCCGGCTCACACATTTTTGTCTTAGCTCAGGAAGGATGTGGCTCCGGAGCAAACTAATTCATGTGGCAGCCGAATGGCTCACTCACGACTTTAATGCCAGCAGCTCACAAAGGGGAATTTTTGCTCACAGGACTCCACAGCTTAGAGGGAGCCTTGGTCCTCCTGGCCAAATGTCGCTTCCACTCCTTCCTCTGCGCCAGCATCCCAAAGATGCCTCCTCCTCCTTCCCCCCCTCTGCAGATGTCGTGGCCTCCTCCTTGTTCACCTTCCCTCTGGCTCAGATCAGCTCAGAATCTTTTCTGCCCTTGCAGGAGGCCTTCCCCCTTTGGACGCTCCCTTCTGGCTGTGCCAGGCCACGCCTCAAAGGCTCTCTGCCCTGGGCCAGGCTCTTCAGCCCCCAACCATCCTGCTTGCCCTCCTTGGTACTTCCTGCAGCTCTGCAATCTCCTCCTTTGAGAGACAGCAATTAAGTTCCACAGGCAGAGATGCCAGCCTCCAGGTGCAGCTCATATCTGCACTGCAGAGTTCAGTTCCCCTGGAGAAAATGGATGCTTTGGAGGGTGGACTCTGTGGCCTTGTACCCCGGCACTGAGGTCCTCGTACTCCCCAGGCTCCATCTCCAAATCTCCAGGAGTTTCCCAACTTCGATCTGGCAAACCCCTCCCCACCCCCGTCAGTGGCAAATGGGGAACCTGGCAACCACTGTCCCCTCTAAGCTGAGTTAGTGTGAGCTAGCTCACAGTTTTTTTAGCCTCTGGCTCTCAGTTTTGTCTTCGCTTGGGAAGGATGGGGCTCCAGAGCAAACTAATTTAGGCAGTAGCCAAATCGCTCGCTCACAGCTTTAATGCCCAGGAGCTCACAAAGTAGAATTTTTGCTCACAAGACTCCACAGCTCAGAGGGAGCATTGCTGGCAACCCTGTGTACAAGGCACACTATTTTTGAATTCTTAAAAGAAGAATGGGAGGGGAAATCATGTCTGATGTTAGTAAGATGAGCACTCCCCCAGCATGTGGAGAAGGAGAAGGCCCAAAGGAGGGGCAGAGTGAGAAACCGAAGGCCCACTAAAGAGGGCAGAGAGACCCAGGAGCCTCCGGGGCGGGGGAGGGAGAGCTGGGGGAGGAGTCAGAATCCACAGGGGCCACCTGTCAATTTCAAAGGTCTCCGAAAGAGGACCGGGAGCCGGGCCAAGGGCCAAGCGTGCCCTGATCCAAGCCAAGCACCACCCTCACTGGGTTTAGCCGGCTTCAGGCAGGAATCACACACTTAAGGCCAGGCCTGCCAGACTCCAGGTGGTGGCCGGAGATCTCCAGCTATTACAACCGATCTCCGGTTCCCCTGGAGAAAATGGCCGCTTTTGCAGGGGGGGTTCCATGGCATCCTACCCTGCTGAGGCCCCTCCCCTCCCCTCCCCAAACCCCACCCCCCCAGGCCCA